TGAGGCAGAGTCTCACTTTGACACCTTTGGTAGAGTGCCACGGCATCACAGCAGCCTCAAACTCCTGGGCTCAAGTGATCCTCCTGCCTCAGCCTCCCAGGTAGCTGAGACTACAGGCACCTGCCACAGTGCCCGGCTGTTTTTTTAGAGACAGGATCCTCCTCTTGCTGAGGCTGGTCTCTGAACTTCTGAGCTCAGGCAGTCTACCTGCCTTGGTCTCCCAGAGTGCTGGGATTACAGACGTGAGCTGCCATACTCTGCAAGTCCTGTTTTTGTTGTTGTTTTTTTTTTAAAGAAAATCCTGAAAGTAAAAATTGCATTACATATGAAATAGTCCTATGTCCCATCCAATGACTCATTCATTTAAAAAAGTTTTGATATGGGATTCCAGATAAATGACTACAAACAAATTGGAAATTTAGGGGAGCACTGTCAGTACACACCCTCTGTTTTGCAGCGATAGAAACAGTTCACAGTGTGAGGGCTCATTCCTTTATTAGGAATCTTACCTTATTTGTCAGGAGTCAGCAAATAAACATCATTCCAGTGTTCTATGACCTAAGGTAAAGACTGACAGCCTAAAAGTGAGGCTGCATCCATAACCCCTGCCCCACCATCTGTCTCACATGTCAGATAAATGTGCATTACTCTAGCAGACAGTCTTAAAGCTGATATTATAGTAAAGTAACGGCCAAAATGTTTGTCCTATGTCATTATTTTGGAAAGGGGAATCTCAGAATATGATGTTTACAAAGAATTTCTTTTAAGTTCAAGAATACAAAAATGTCATTAAAATCAAAGAAAATAATATTTAACGTTATAACTTTAACGAAAGTGCTTATTAATGCTGGAAAGAAAAACAAGTTAGTGCAAGTATGTAGAATTTTAAGCATCAGAGTGACTTAACCATTTCCTCTGTGGTGGGCTGGTCCTCCAGGCCTCTGCCATCTGCCCTCTCACAGAAGGACAGAAGGTGAGAGAGGGAAGGGCGCACACTTCTGAATGCTGGGACTTTTTTTTTTTTAATCCACATGCTACTGGTTAACAAGAGTTGTTTGCTGCTAATTTTAATGATAATGGGGTTTTTCAACTATCCTAATTTTAGTAGGATATTGTTGTTGGGATGGAAGAGATAATGAAGACATTTTACTGAGCAGGAATATGGGTGTTGATTTTTGTTTTTGTTAATTTTTAGGGAAATAGGTGATCAGTGGCATTTGGCAATCCAAGAAGCCATTTTAGAAAAATGCAGTGATAATGATGGCATTGTTCATATTGCGGTAGACAAAAACTCACGTGAGGTAAAGTAACTTTTAGTATTGAATTCCATGGTTTTGATTTGTTGCTATTAAACTAAGACTGTTTCTTTTCTTTTTAAATGTCACAGGGTTGTGTATATGTTAAATGTCTGTCCCCAGAATATGCTGGAAAAGCTTTTAAGGCATTGCACGGCTCTTGGTTTGATGGTAAGGAATTTGAGTATTACAGACATTTGGTAAAGATCACTATGGTTTAATGTTAAACTATGCTAGATTTTAATTAAAAAATTTTAGGTTAGCATTTTTTGAGTACTAATTTTTAGTGATTTTGTGTTGTATGTTCATGTGTCTTTTACCACAGTTAATTTTCTATAAATATTAAATACATTTTTATAGATCTAAAATACTATTTTTATCTTACAACAGGGAAATTGGTGACAGTAAAGTATTTGCGACTAGATAGATACCACCACCGCTTCCCACAGGCGCTTTCTTGCAGCACTCCCTTGAAGCCGTCAAACAAGCACCTGAGCTCCCTGTCGCACCTCCGCCTGCGCACCGGCCCAGCCACTTCCCAGGGAGGCTCCTGAAGAGATGTTTTTCCTCTCCTAAGACTGTTACTTACAATAGGAAAATTCCTGTTCGGCTTTTTGTCTTCCTTTTAAAATGCTTTTTGTATGTAATATTTTTATTGATGAATACAGCTCTGTTTGAACGTTCCAGAAATCTTAAGGTTTCAAAGGGATTTAGCAGTGAGGCAGCAATGCTGAGTAGGTAGAATAGATTTTTCATTCAGTTTTTGGAGCTCAGTTAAACCAATGCATTTAAAGTTTTGCATGAGGAACACTGACTTTATTAAGCATTTTCAGATATGGTGGTTGTATTTTTGCACCAAGAAGTGTTTGGATAACCACCCAAAAGCATGGTGAGGAGGCTTCTTGTATTCCCATAATTTCTTGTGAACTAACCTTGTGAATTTTTGTGTGCAGTCACCTGCATTGTTCCTCACACTAATGTGGTAAAACTGTTCATTTCCCCATTTAACCCTAGGTTTCTTTTGCTTGTAAGAAATTCATTTGCTACAGTTGGAAATATGGGACAATTAATAATTTGGGTTAGTGGTCACATATGTGTCAGTGGATGAACTTGTACTAAACTGGCTTCTGTATATATGTGTAAATGCTGGTGGTGGTGGTGAAAGCAGTCTTGTGAGGATGTCTGCATTAAAGCAGTAAAATAAGCTTTCTATTTTATTCATAATCTAATGTGTGTGTATATGTATGTGTGTGCGTGTGTGTGTGTGTGTACATGTGTATATGTGTACACTCACACAGGGATACATGTGGCTGTACTATCACATAGATTACACAGCCAAACACCTGGAAGTATTAGATACAAGTTTAAAATATCTTTTATAGGTTTTATATAAAAAAAGTCTCAGTATGATTTTGTGTGAAAGTTGTGATGCCAGTTGTAATGGATTTAAATTCATGTGAGCAATAAAGAAGAAATTGGCAGATGTTGGAAAAATATTTTGTGAAAAGCTGTATTTATTATAAATACTAGGGCTGTGACATAGTACCATTGGGATTAAGTAATGTTCCTGGTCTATTTATAATTTAATGAAATGTTAGTGCCCCTCTTATATCTCAGATTCATCGCAGGGCACATCGTTGCAGCAAAACATGCATTTGACAAATTATACTCGTAATTTTGGGTCATAAAAGTTTGCAGTATAGTAAAGGCACAAGTGACTGTTGTTTTGTGCCTCAGTATTTAATTTGTTTCGGTAAAGTTACTTTATTGTTGTTTATGATTTCAGATTAAAATAGTTGCTGAACAAAATTGGCTAGTAATCTAGCAATTGGCTTTTAAAAAATTACCTGTTGATTGTTGGTCCAAATGAGTATGTGAAACAGCTGGGGTTGTACCAATTTTTATTTCGTCTAAAGTTCAGTTTTCCTTTTTGTTTGTGGTAAATGTGTGGTGTTTGCAGCATGAACTTGCACAGATAACGCACGTTTCTGGCTACGCAAACGCAATGTGCATTGTCTGTAGCAGGGAGCCCGGCCGTGCCTTACCCATGTGCTTCTGTGGGCACCGTGTTTATGAAGAATAAAAAATGGTTTGTTATCTGAAGAGAATCAATTTAAAATTCTCAATTTATGTCTCAGATGCTAATGTGTGAAAATATAAATATATATAATATATAAAGTACCCATCTTTCTGTATTTTATGTGCATCATAGTGATTTATCTGAGCTTAGTGGCCCCATCTTGTAACCTGTTGCAAGAGTGAATGTAAAAACTAGTCGTGGCATTTTACAAGGTCGCCTTTTGATGCAGATGCATCTTTTCCTTGCTTCTGAAACATATTTCATGTAAACATTGTACATTTATTATTGTAATATATACTATTTGCAGCTTATTTTACCTGAAACTGTTAAGCTGACCAAGATCCCTTCCTGCAAGACAGATGGGAATGTGCATAGTAACCAGGCATTGGAGAAGTTCTGAAGTTTGATGTAATCTGTTATTTGTCCTGTTTCAAAAAGGAAAAAAATTCTAATTAAAAATTTATTAGGTTTTTTTTAATGCGTCTTGGCTTTTAAAAACTTTTTAAGTGCACCGTGTCTTTGTTTTTTATCAGTGAAAACAGGTCCCTGTATCATAAATCTCTTTATTTGGTCGTTTGTGAATGAATATATGTGTGTTTACAAAGACAGATGAAGACCTAAAGTTAATTTTAGCCATCTGCGCCTCGGTATTTTACTTATCTCTATGAAAAAGTCTTTTTTTTTTTTTTTTTTTTTTTTGAGACAGAG